GCGTGCCGTGACATTTGATGATAGGGAAGCTGTGTTTCTATAAGAAGCCGACTTCCAGAGGCAATCAGTCAGCAATGGTCTAGGGTCCATTCGTATTCGTTTGTTAGATAAGCCAGTAAAAACCGTAGACTTCTCTAAATGTATTTTTAATTAATAGATTATCTAACGCACTTAATAAATAAGCAAGTTCAATATAATTAACTCTGTTATATTATATTTTATAGATTCTCTATGCCCTCTAAATGCCAACTCTTGCTTCAATAACATCTACTAATTAAAATATAATATATCTATTAGCCGTAACTACCTTGTTATAATTTTCAATATTTACTTTATATTGTGTACTAATGTTAAATTCTATTCTATTTTGATTTCCAAATTGCTTCAATTTTACAAAAGAATCGATGGAGATTTATGATTTTTGTGTTTTTTGCTAACTTTACTCAAATTATTTAAATCGTCAAAGCCATTCTTATTTCACACTAATTTTATTTGAAATTAGTAGGCAAAGCCAACAAAACAAATTTTGCATTTTTATGCATCCACAAAGCCATTTTATATCTTCATAAATTTTATCATGAAAATGTCGAACAAATTTTTTCTTTTTCATTATATGGTCTCGAGCCAAAACTTTTTGAAATAAATTTTCGATATCACAATTACATTCTAAATTGCTAGCTATAAGGGCTAAAATTAAAAATAAAATTATAAAAACTTACTTGTTAAAATAAAATGTGTGATGATATACAATTATACATGCCTGGTACAAAATATTCAATTGTATGAATACACTTTTAAAGAAAAATATAAATATAGTTTTGTGAAGAAACGTACATAAAAATAACATAAAATAGTTTTTACTTTTTAAATATTAAAACAATCCACCTAGTTAAAATTGCTCCCTACCAGTGGCTCGTGGATGCAATCAGAGACTGTCTTGGTAGATGCTCGGTGCGGTGCATGCTTGCTAAATTCCGAGGGTGCCGATACCGGTTAATGTCACTTTTGTCTCATCACTAGTATATCTCAAAGGACGCGACAGGGTTGTAAATTTTAAACGTTTTTCATTATAGCTGTAAAAATCTAATATGTTAAAAGTTAATAGTCATTTGTTTTCTAACTACTGTAATTCGTTTTAAGACCAGGTGTCCACGGAAATTTCCAAAATTTACAACTTTTACTCACTTTCATTGAACTGGAAAAATTTCTGTCTTTATTACATCTAATATTACGAAGAAATCAGTCCCACTGTACTCNAAAGTCATTTGTTTTCTAACTACTGTAATTCGTTTTAAGACCAGGTGTCCACGGAAATTTCCAAAATTTACAACTTTTACTCACTTTCATTGAACTGGAAAAATTTCTGTCTTTATTACATCTAATATTACGAAGAAATCAGTCCCACTGTACTCGGCTAGTTATTGGTCCGGTTAGGCTTTTGTTTAAGTAAAATTCCGGCTCTTTCATCAGGGTTTCGTTTACGTCCCCAATTCCCTAATCGCTTAATTATTTAACTACTTCTTAAGTAGAAATAAGTCGAAACCGGTTACTTTGTACTCGAATATTTGTAGTCTCGGGAAAAAAGTGGAAAGAATTTTTTACGACAACGGATACATAAATTGTAAATTTAAGGAAAATAAATTCTAGAGCCTTTTCTGTACCTCGTGCGTCTCTCACATTCATTAAATTTAGTTGTAAATGACGCTGTCGAAGTAACGGTTAATTTTTTAACATTATACAAGAATTGTACACGTTTTTTTCTGCATCCCCTTAAAGATGGGATGTACGAAATCGTAATATCACCGGTTTAACATCGAAATCCGCGAGTAATATAAAATCGGAGAGCGGAATAAAAATATCAAATATTTTAATGGATTTTTTAACTCCTGTCAACTATATGGAATTATCGTAAAAACATAGCAGTAAATTCTTATCAGTTGGGTTAAGTTATAAATCTACTCGTTATTCACGTAATCGAAATATCTAGTGGGCAGGCGGCTAACAGCCCAGAGCCGGTCCTTGATAGAATTGGAATCTTTATATGTGTGCAGCTTTCACCCAAGGTCGTAGGCTTCCACCGGCTAAACCGGGTGAGGTTGGTGCTCTGTAAAGCGCATGCGCAAATCTGGCTTTTCGTAATCTGAAAATACAGGAGATTCCATTCCGCCACTAATATTCTAATATATAATAGCAATTTTTTTTTCCACGTGTAGTATAGAAATTTGTAATAAGATACATAATGCGGTTATAATAAAATATTGTGCGATTATTTTCATATAATTAAAATTAATATTTATTTATTTTTAGAGAATAGGAGGGAAGCGGCGCTTCCAACGCTTCTAATGACGGCACGCCACTGCGTTTAATGTAAACTCTGTCTCTGCAATCGGCCGTAAAAGTTACTGCAATACGTCGATATTGCGTCACAGATGACGTTATATAATGCCCCTTAATGCTTACTGTGAGAAAAGTGTTAAAAATTGAAAAGAAACTTCGAGAATGTTTGTATTATCTTTTAATTATTAATTAAATTTTTATCAAAATTTTTATCAAACGGAAAATTTTTTAAACAATTAATCGAAATAAAATTTGATACAGTAAAATAATTTCAACTTTTTAAATTTTCAGGTTGTGTATCTCGAATTTATATGAACGAAGCAATATACGGATTGTTTTTAAAAGTATAAGTAGACCAGGAAGTATAAATTATCACTTTTTTCTTCAATGATCTCATCTCTAATCAACTTTTTTTTAAATAACACTCCCTCAGATTGCTCTGGAGTTTCAAAAGTGTCGACTGATTGTAAAGGCAAACTTATCTTGTGTTTTCGCCATTGTTCATCAGTAAAAACTGCAGACAGACGACAAGTCGAATTTTTCCCAACGAATATTGGTTCATTTAACTCTGCCTGTCCTTGCAATTTGCAGTAGATTTCGTCATGGAAAACACCGCTTTCTACCGAATTTATGTAGCCATAGATATGCACTGGAATGAAAGACATGTAACTCTTAAAAGTTATGGGAAGATTGAGATCAGTGACGAAACAATCTTCTTTCACAAATATCTCAGTGCTGAAAAATGGAAATGGTGTATTGCTGTCTGCGGATACGCGAGAAGATTCTTTTTTATGTTTATACTCAAATAGAGATGTGTAATTTAAAGGTTTGCTTCTGCATCTGTCGTTCGAGTTTTTGCTCAAATAACTCGGGAAATCTGAAAAATTTTCGTTTCTTTACAGACGAGGATGGATTTTTTTTCTTCTTTAGTAAACAAATTGAGTTTGAATATTTTATTAATTAATTCCTGTTTGTTCATGGCTAAGAATCTGATATTTTCAAGAAACGGTTGCAATTCTTCCCGATACTTTTGTTTCTTGGCGTTTTCGTCCATTTGAACAAATGACGTTCCCATCTCTCGTTTGCACTTCTCTTCTATCCAGCTGTAGACGGCCAGAAATATATCCACTTCGCTCATACGTGTATATAATGGACGAGACACTATCCTGTGTATTGTCGTAGTTCCACAGGATTTGAAGTCTTCTCCCTCGAATATTTCTGGGCAATGAGCATCGAATATTTCCCAGCAAAAATGTCGTAAATATGCGTGATTCATTCTGCAGGCAAAATCGTAAATTGCGCACACAGTTTTCATATTTAACCGAACTTTAATGTAGTTTTCGCATTCCCTGCATAAATCGTCAATTGAATATTTTTTGCTCAAGTCATACAACTGGAAACTGTCGTTCAAAGACTTTAACTGAGGATTATTTGTACGCAAATAACTGCGTGTAAATACAAAATATATATTTATGAAATCGCTAATACAATATATTAAGATTATCTCACTTAACAACCAGAGCGACGACTTCCTTCGGGTATGGCAACTTCAGCATCTTCGAACCTTCTCGACGTTCTATTATTGATTCCAGCTGCTCGTTGCGAATTTTATCGAAATTAGATGAAGAAATCGATATTTTATCCTCGTCGGATGATACGAGTTCTATTTTTTCTGAATCCATAATGTGAACAGCTGAAACTAAATAATAGTTTAATAACAATTGATAAGAATGAAATTGCCAATTGTTACAGTTTTATTATGACGACGTGTAAAGAGAAAACGTAATTTTGATAATAAATTAAAGTTTTCATTTTTCTGCATTTTTTTCACTAAAAAAAATTGATATTTTATACAATTCCTTCGCGGATTTGGTCAGACTTACAATGGGGACTGCCAGGTGAAAGCGACCAGGTCCGACATGTTCGGGACAGATCACTCCTAAAAGATTACTCACTCGGTTCTAACATGCTTTTTACCTTTTACATGCCGCAGGGGCGTGAGAAGAATTCTTAAGAAATACCTGTTGTCTTGTAAATTATTACTTGAAGGCTTTCTTCCGAGCTGAACATTTTTGTTGCGAGTTTTTTAGTTTAATTTTGTGGCATGTCGAGTTAATGAGTTTTCGTGCAAGAAATGTAAAACATTTTAATGTACAACGTTAAATTAAGTTTAAAGTGTATGATAAATAAAACTCTACACATTTATACTGCAATTGTTTTGTAATAAATTGCGTTCGATTACGAAAAGTTTTTATTTTCTGTTTAATGCTATCAGCAGAGTATTCTGATTTGCAATTGATAGGGAGGTGTAAGTATTAATTTAAATTTTTTTTTTTTCGACAAGACAAATGCTTTTGCTATTTATAATTTTTCCGATGCTATTTACAAAAGTTGTTACACTTTGTTTGTATAAAACATCGAGGAAGATCCATCGATGTCTGGTTGACTCACATAGGCGAAATTAAACCATCAATTAAAATTACTTTATCATAGCAGAAATATTTATAGATGCGTGTCAATTGTAGTTTTAGGAATATAATTTAATCATTACAATTCTATAAAAAAGTAATAGGTTTGTTACAATTGCTACAGTCAAAGATATAATATTGATATACAAGTAAAAATAGCAAAATCAAGAAGCAGTTTTATCTATTGTAATCTTTTTCTAAGAGCATTTTACTGCTTATAAATAACGGTAGAACAAAATTATATTACTTTGCTAAGTGTTTTTGTTTTAAAGCATGATATATAATTGCTTTTATATAAAACGTTTATAAACGTTTTATATAAAACGTTTTTATAAATGAAATCAATCAAGCAAACATTTGTTTTGATCAGATTCACTATCAGATATCCTCCACAGTTTAAAAGCCCCTTCTTTCTGCTTTAACGCAATTTTATTTATTCCACCACCAAGTCTTCCTCCACAGTTTTCTTCCTTACCTTCTTTCTTCTCCACATAACTTCTCCTCAGTTTCTTTCATTATACAGTATTTGGACTTTCGAATGGTAACAATCGACGACACGTGGTTGCGGTTGAGTTAGAGATCGATGCCTCGTTTACAAACAATAAAACTCGTTTATTAGACAATCAACTTACAAAATGTTCTATAACCACGACGGGTTGATTAAAACTTTAAAATTTTATTGTTACATACGAATTCTCTTTACTGTTATATAAAACTTCAACACCGCGCATCGTCACCGTGAACTCAGCCATTTTGTTGTAGCGAAAACAGCATGTGAAATGAGTGGCGTTTCTTTATCCAACGCTGCACGATCGCTACACAGCAAAGAATTTCTAAATGAAGCGCTGTAACCTATCGAACCGTTTCTAAACCTTTGCTGCAAGGAATGGCTGCATCAAAGATAAAAGTTACACAAGTAAAGCAAAATGAATGCTTGTGCGTATAATACGATATTATGCTGCGAAAATATAAAAAGGTAGTTAGTATATTACAGATCTTTATTTAGATAGAGTTAGATAGCTTAATATCTGATCTTTTAACAATTTAAAAGGCTTATCACACCAACGTCAACCGAAAATTTGATCAGATCTTTCACAAAAAAAAAAATGTCCTTAAAGTTAAACTTTTCAGCACAAGCCATTGCACATAGCACCCGAGACCAATTTTTCACGCTTACGTATAATAGAAATCATATTAAACGAATGTCAGGTAATACCAATTACTGTAGCACCATTTCTGCATGAATGTGACTCCAGAATATTTATAGAGTTTTAAGATTTGTAAACAGAGCACGTAAAGATGTTTGTTACTTATTCATTAATAATACTACTTTTATAAGAAAGTAATGGTGAAAAAATAACAATTATTAAATACATTTATTTCTATTTTTCGGTTAAGCAGAAATTACAATGTATAAGCATCAACATTAAAAAATAAACATTCTGGCAGCATATGAATATTCAGAGCAATAATTACAATTGCACACGTTTGCAATTGTAGCCGCTACTAAAGATGTGCCAGATTCCTGATGCTTATACCAAACTAGTTATTTGGGGTTGTTATTATAATGTGTGGAGTACAATACACTACTGTTCCCTACAGAAAAACCAAAAAAGATAGATGATTTTTTTTTTATACTTCATAAATTACAGCATTCATTATGGAAGATGAAAAATAAATTGTTTACTAATTTGATTATCAATAATGTTATACTGGAACTGAACAAGGCTGAGAATTTCGAAACATATTACTGTTCACTCTTTCCTTTCATTCATTCTCTTCATAGCATAAAACGTTCTAAAAGTCAAATATTGTATAAAATTAGCATAAACTGTATACATTATGAGTGATGGACACTATACAATTCTGTTTAGATCTTCCCAGAAAACTCCAAAGGAATTTTGAACTTGAATTTAGAATTTAAATTTCAAAAACATCAGCATTTCGATACTTCTAATGAGAGTCTGGTTGTCTGTCGGTTGTTCGAGTTTTTTTTTTTTTTTTTTAATTTTATGCAAACCAGGTCAACAGTACAGAGTAACACGAGCAATTTACATATTTCAGCATCAAAAATTGAAGTATCATGAATCGTACAATAGATTTATTAAAGAAACTTCTGTGTATAAAAACGTTATATTTAGAATTTTTACAGAGCTTTATGTGAGATCCACGGGATTGTTTTTAATTAATATAAAATAATTTAAAATTATTATTATCGAGGAGAACATTTTGAACAAAGAAAGGATGTAACATCCATCAATATCGGAGAGAAGAGAAGATGAAGTTCCTTTAGACGGCCGACTCTCTGATGAATCAGTTTTGCATACGGTGCAGGCCACTTGGAGAGCCGTCTATAAATAGGGGCTTTTTCCCGTCAATCGAGGTAGTTATTCAGAGAAAGATTACCATACAATTTGGCAGTTTATAAGAAGAAGTTGCCATATAATTTATGCAGTACGGCCACATAAGAAGTCAGAAATATTTTTATAATGCGCACATGAAAGTTACTATTCTCAACTTTCTCCCATATCCTGAACGGAAAGACGATCGAAGACAAGAATAAGCTTCATATTGTGATAGTAGTGTTGCATTAAAATTAATGTGAACTCTCTCTCAAGCGTATAGGTTAATTAAGGTTAAGTTAGATAGTTGATTTCTCTCCGCGAGATAGGTCTAGAATATATAATTTATAATCCTATTAATTATATTATTATGTCATTTGATTCAATTAGATTTATTTGTTATTTGTTTATGATATGGTCTCGTTAATGACTAAATCCAATGCCTTCGTCTACTCCACTTACTCGCGACACTCTTTCTCGAAATTCCTCACAAATACGTGATAGCCTGCAACTTGACTATTTGGTGTCAGGAAAAACCAACGTCCTGCAGTTCACGAGAATCTCTGGTCATAATAAACGTCTTAGGAAGCCATCCGTAGACAATCGCGGACCTGTTTCTCCAACAGCACAGCCGATTAAGCGGTACATGAGTTTTACTAACACCGTATCCCCGGCTAGCCCCTCACATTTATATTTAAGAGACTTTTATAAATCTAAATTTAGGATAATAAACGAGTTAATTGGGTCCTGTCTGTCTTTCGAATCAAGTTGGCTAGATTCATTTATAGAACGAGAATAAACATAGAGTATTATTTTTTATAATTGAAAGTTAAACGATTTCGTACGAAACATATTCATAATACTTCTGTATTCTGTAAACAGTATATCATATAATAAAGATATTTTAGAGAAGGTATTACATTTTATTTCGTTTAATTGCAATTAAGAAGCGTAACAATATTTCTGTTGTTGAACAATAAAAAGACGTTGCCATTATTTTGTACTGCATTTTTTACCAGGAAGGGGCCAAGTCGGTGTACTTTCGGGCAATCCTTCGCACCAGCATGCAAGCTTGAAGCAATAGCCGTAACTACCTCCTTGGTTCGGCGCTTTGCATTCCTTATCGCAGTTATCGTTTTCTCCCAATTTCCAGCACCCGTATTTGCAGCCATTCTTCTTCACCAGGTAACCTTCCTTTGCCCATAGTGTTCCTGCAACAAATACAAAGAAATAGTCTTGTTCAACCGTAAGAAGTAATACTTATTAATACAATAAAGTTAAAATATTTAATGCTTTGCACTCAAAATGTGTCAAAAAAGTACAATATTATTGTATCACATGAAGTATAAAAACTGAAAATAGTTCTGATTATAAATATGCTATTTTAAACACTAGGAAGATGATGTGTCATTCGTAACTTTGTATTTATCGACGACTTGTCTAGCCAGGAAAACGACATTATAATGAAAATCTTGAGGATGTAATTTCTTGTAAATCTAAATTTATGATGTTATTCTATTAACTCATTTCTCTCAAGTTAACGGATAGATTGACTGCAAATGCTTAGAGAATTCTATAAATCAAATAGCAATTACTAAAGTAAAAAAATTTCCACTCAATTAGACAGGTCAACATATCTATATCTATATCTACATATAAAAATGGATGTGTGTGTCCCTATATTTCACTTTTCAGCCAAAACTACACATCGCACACGAATGGTGTTTGTATGTGGTAGTAGCCCCAAGTCTCCATTCGTGCATAGGGGTGGTTGCGTCTCGATAGCTATAAGGGTGTGAGAGATATGGGCTTGAAACTGGTTGAAAGTGGAAGATTTTCTATTTCGATTTTAAAAATTTTCGAATTCGAATTGGTTCGATTATAGAACTAAGAGGGCCCTTGCAGTAAGTCTTTTATACATAAAAAAAAAACTATATTACATACAAATAAAAACCCAGCGAAGCGTGTCTTTGCAGGTAGTTCATACTTATATAAAAAGACCATCACGGATCAAGTAATAACACCATTAAACTGATTTACTTTAAAGGTCTAACTCTTAAATAAGAGATTAAAGTACTAGAATAATAGAGAATAGAGATTAGTGACTCGTAGAATATCCGCCTGAAAAGAACACCTTCTCGGCAGATTGCTGTTGTGTTGCATTGTCATCCATCAATCGAATGCAGATCTCATACTACGTAAATAATTTAACTTTAATAGAATTTATGCCATTTCGATCAATTTAATACAAATCGTTCCAATTTCTAGAACACAACAATGAGTTTATCTGAAGTTTTATAATTATCCAACGAAATATTTCTGTAAATATGAATTTCGATTTAAGTCATATATGAAAAAACAAGCTATAATCTGCGAGTGTTTTCATTTCCACAGAAAAAAAAAATACAATATATTGTAATAAATATAACACGAATTTCATAACTCTTTTATAAATTATAACGATACTAAATTATGCCATTTATAAAATTAACAACTAATTAAATCAATTATAAGTTCATACTCACCGATCAGGACCAAACAAACAGTGATCATCAACAACGAGTTCATCTTCGAAGCTATCTAAACGAGTTTAGAATGAGTTACCACGAGCAGAATTTATATACATTCAATGCGAGCAGGTACAACGCCTACACGTGGATTCTGCATGCTCGATCCATCTGTTTCCACCAATTATAACAACATTAATGAGCCATTAAACAGAGAGGTCACATTTTTCAAATTTCTTTATTTGCAGAAGGAATTAAATTCGTACCGATTACAGAAATGTTTATGTGAAATATAAATGAATACAGAAATGTCATTAAATTTTTAAAAATAAAAATTACTTATTTTACTTTAAGTCAAACAAGTTCTTGGAACACTTCACGATCATTTAGATATTTGATGTTTAGAGGCATGTGATAATATCTCGTGATTTTCTCGTTTGATCGACACCACTAACCTATCCTCTGTTAGGAATTTTTTGAAAGTCTGCAAACATCAAATATTTCACGTAATTATTGACAAAGATTCTTGAAAACAAATCAATTTGAAATTTCTAATCGAAATGGAAATTTATTACAATGAAAGTGAAGATTTAAACACTGAGTCTCTTCCTCTAAAAACTTCAAAATTCTTTACTAAGTGTTGCAGTTTTATGTAGAATAAACGAGAATAAGTCAAAAGTATTGATTCATCAGAAAAATAAAGAGCGGGGAGATAGAGTAAGGTCATATGTTAGGCCTATATCTCGAGTGGAGACGAACTTAATAAACATTTTTATTTCTTATTGGCATTTTCAATATTTTTAAAAGCTTTTTTCCCCTGAAAACTTATGTCTCTATGTAATTATTAGTAATATAAAAATAAGTTGTTAGTAATATGCCATAAGAGATGGAGCCACGCACATTTTAACGTTGAGCAAATGCGTATTAGTTTATTTTAAATTTAAGTATTTCTTTTTAAATAGAGATTTTTTATCGTAATTCAACAAAATTAGTTGCTTTAATCTTTTGCTAGTATTTAAATTTTATATCGTTGTATAATTGAAAATTACAGAATATTTACAGCCATTTTGATTGAACGTTTCTTAATTTCTTTGTTGTGATTTTGTGATTGATCGAATAAATGATTTTGTAGTAAAAGAATTGCCTTACATTAAGAGACAAACAAATGTGTACAATAATCATATAATTTTCTTTATAATTCAATAGAATTCTAAACATCTGACCGTTTTGGTCTTAATTTCCTAATTTATTTGCAATTGACACGAGTCGCTTTATTTTTATTGAAGAATTTATGACTTTGAACGAAGAAAACATTTCTTTAATTACAGAGAGAACCTGTTCAGTTTTATAAACAATTTTATACATTATGTTATTTAGAAATAAAATAATTATAAACTGACGTCATTCATTTTATACGAACTGCTTTCTTGCCAACTTTTCACCCTAATTCCTTGCGGAGTTAAATATAAATTCACCCAATTACAATTTTTTTTAGTTTAACATTTGAGTTTATCAATATGTTTATTTATTCTCAATTGATTTGTTAATTTACTTTTGATTTGAAATAAAATTT